CATCCAGAAGAAAAACTCAAAGGGTACCCCGAAGGTCGACCATTTCCGGCCCATCAGTCTGCTAACAAGCGACTATAAAATCCTAGCCAAGATTCTGGCAAAGCGGCTGGAGTGGGGTCTACGGGACGTCGTCGGAGAGCATCAGGCCTACGGCATCAAGAGACGGACCATCAGCACCAACCTGCACGCGATGCGAATCGTGTGCGAGGCAGCGCAGGTGTTGAAGCTTCCAGTGGCATTGCTTCAGGTAGATCTGAGCAAAGCCTTCGACCGGGTTCGCCATTCGTTCCTCTTCCGGCTCATGGAGGAGTGTGGGATCGGGGTGCGACTGCTACGATATGTGCAGCTGTGCTACCGTGACATCACGACGCGGCTCCTGGTCAACGGCAACAGGACGGCTCCCATTGCAGTTACCCGATCCGTGCGACAAGGCTGCCCGATGTCGCCTATTCTGTTCGCATTGTACCTGGAACCGTTGTGCAGGGCCATTATCGGTGACGCGAGCATTCGTGGGCTGTCCCTAGCGTTGGGTACGCTTAAAGTGCTCGCCTACGCAGATGACGTCACGGTGTTGTGCTCGTCAAGGATGCAAGTGCGCGCTGTAACCCAACACATCGCAGACTTCTGCAGTGTCTCGGGTGCGGCGATGAACACAGACAAATCTGTCGGAGCTTGGCTTGGAGACTGGGACTTGAAACCGGAGCAGTTCCTCGGTGTCACCTGGACGACGAGCGTTTCGAATTACCTAGGGCTCAGTTTGACCGCAGAGAGACTGAGTGGCCGATGCGGTGGTTTGGACATTAATCGCCTCAGAAGTAAGGTGCTTGACTGGCATGCTAGGGAACTCTCTTTGTTCAATCGCGCATTTATTTGTAACTCTGTTTTTTTTCCGACCGTTTGGTACGCGGCACAAGTGTTGCCGTGCTCCCAAAGTGACGTGGCGAAGGTGCATCGATTTTTCGCAACGTTTATCTGGGACTCGTGTTTTGAACGTATGAGGCGTGACAACCTATTTGTAAGCCAGAAGAAAGGAGGGTTGGGCCTTGTAAACGTAGAACTTAAGCTGAAAGTACAGCGTTTCCTATTTTTCCGCGATCAAGGCAATCCTCTCGTGATTTCTGCGTTTAAGGAGCTGGGAGGAAGCGTTTTGGGGCCGCGGCTCAAGGGGGGCACTGGGGACTTCCGGGCACGTGCTCTGAAGTTTTACCAGGAAACAGCAGCGGCGAAGGAATTTTTCCGAGCCCGCTTTTTCGACGAGTACCTGCAGAAAGTTAAAAAGAAATCTCTATACTGCGACACAGTTGATTTGCTCATACCGCCCCCACTCTATCGCAGCTTTCCGGGAAGTGTGGATAAATCGGATGTATTTCGTCGCTTACGTAGATACCCTGTCAGAAAGGCAGTCAAGAATTTTTTCCTACGCTTCCATTTCGAAGTACTGCCGGTCAAGACGTGGCTGGTTAAAAAAGGTTTCTTTGAACCGTGGTCAACAAATTGCGCGTTGTGTCCGTTTCCCGAAACACTTGAACATGTGTTTTTGAACTGTACGAATGCGGAGCTTTTTTGGGCAGAGCTTCGAGCAGTGCTGCAGATAGATCTTTACGTAGAGTGGAAGAGCGCGAAATTTCTGCTTTTCGGCGACAGTGCACAGCTCTGCGCTGTGGCGGTCGAGGACGGATCACTTGGAGGTCCGAGAGGAATCCAAGCCCGCCTGGCAACACTTCTGCGACAGCTTTCTGTACGTGAGCAGCCTTCTTGAGGCGACGGAACAACAAGGGCTTGAATGTTGGTCGCTATATGGAACGCGTATGAATAACCGCGCTCTAAAGGCTCAGTGGTAAACAAGGATTCCCGGGCCACTGCGCGAGTGGCTGCTTGGGGTGCATGTGACGTTACAGAGAAATGATTGAGCGAGATACATTTTGAATTGGTGTGTGAATCGCGGTCCTCGCCTGTAAAACAGTGCTCACTGACATGATAAGTGTATGGCAACCAATGTGATCATTTTAAAACATTGTAAATAGACATACTTTTAAGAAAAAAAAAAAAAAAAAAAAAAAAGGTGGAGTGGTGTAGTGGTTAGCACACCCGACCGGACATTGGGAGGCCCAGAGTTCAAATCCTGGCTCCGCCGTTTTTTGGCTCTCGGCGGGTTCCTGGAAACTTGGATTCTTTAATTCATTGGATTAAGTACGGTTCATTCATCTGCACAATTTCGTATATATATATATATATATATATATATATATATATATATATATATATATATATATATATATATTTCGGGTTATTGTAAGAATCTGACATATTGGAAAATGCTCAGTTTATATTAAAAAAACATAGGAGTTCAGCTATAATTAGGGCTCCGTGTTTTCGGATAAATCCGAAAAACTCCGAAAAACACCCGACGTAAATATTTAGTCAATTCGGATTTATCCGATAAACTCCGAATGTTTATGTGCCAATGCCACCCCCCCCCCCCCCCCCAAAGCAAAATAGAAAAAAAAGATAAATTTTTTCTTCTTTCTTTTTTTTTTTTACAATTTGTTTAGCACGAGTCAATGGTCCTGTGAAAATGTAGTCATAATTATCTTTCAAATCTCAGACCGTTGTCAAAAGGGGTCTTGCCGCTTGTCTCTTCAAGGTTGATTCAGGGCAACCGCTCATTGTACATTCGGGTCATGACAAAAGCCACTCTTTTGGTTTCCAGTTGGAGCCATCCGATTTGTGATTTAAAGAAAGGAGAAGCTATGTTTTTGTAACAGTGAAAGCTAGGGACCATAGGATTGCATTAAATAGGAAAGAAGGGCAGTTGAAACTTCTCTATTACATCCTTAACCACTCCACCTCGTGCGGCCGCGGGATAGATTGGTGGGATGACTACGAGCTTCCTTGCGGCTACCTCCAGCAGTTTATTGATTTTAAGTTATCGACGTTTATCCAAGCCACACTTGTGTGCGACTTTTATTGCGGCACAAAAAATTATAGTGCCAATGGCAATGGCACGAACGTCAAATTCAACTGAAGACATTTTAATCGATACAAGCGCGTGTTATTTTTTATTTGGCATACGTTTACATCCGGTTATTATTTACATATTTATTTTCAATAGGAAACACTGTGAAATTAAACTCCGCATTTCGGAGAATTGGCAATCAAACAGATGTAAACTCCGATAAACTCCGAATCTTCGGCAAAAAATAAACTCCGAAAAACACCCTCCGATTTTGACGAAAAAAAAAACTCCGAAAACACGGAGCCCTAGCTATAATGCGCTATATATATATATATATATATATGTATTTGCTTTGAAAAAATATTTGTTTCAAACTTCGTTTTTTTTTCTCGTAATTATCCATATATGACCTTAACGTATTATTTTTTTTTACCGAAAGCTTTATTGTTTTAAAACTGAGTATACGGCTATATTTTTAATATCGGCACTAAATCAAAGTAAAAAAAAAAGCTTTTTGCTTTTAATATTTTTGTTTTTAATTTTGCTTGCTTGTTGTCTGGGTTCTAAACTGTCCATAACCCTTGAGTAGACGTTTTTAGACCAGCCACCTCTTTATGCTTTCTTTTTTTCGTACTGCGTATTTCCTTAAATGTTCAATATTGGGCATTCATTTTAGGAAACAAAGTACCACCGTTTTTATTAAAATATTTTATGAAAATATGCTTTGTTTGCCTTATTCATAACACACGAAATTTAAGTCTTCTTATAGACCGGCACGCTGTTTACAAACAAGCCCTCGTTTGCCCACACCAGGTGTGGGCACTGCGCGTGCGCAGAAGCCGAATTCGCGTGAACTAAAGCGTCTGCGCATGCGCAGTGCCGTCGACAGCGCCACCGCAGCTGTGTGACGTCAGGGCCGCGTGTCGGTCTATAGTATCTTGTCTTTGAAAATACCAAGTGAATATGAGCTTCTTAAGAAATTTTAACAGATATGCACACTTAAAACACTGAGCATTGCGTGACAAAACCTGTTGAATAAGCTAGAAGAATATATTGCCCTATACTCCGCGACAACGTTTCTTGGCATTACCGGGGAGAGGAAGAGAGCCCGCGCACAACTTTATTCAGCGCTTAAAATGGAAGAGAGAACGCGTGCCTGTACCTTCCACTGCATTGCCAAGAAAAGTGGTCGCGGAGTATAGTAAACACGGTGTGTATTTCAATGTTTATTTCAAACTTTTATCAGAAAAATTATGTATTTAACCCTTTGGGGCCTGTCTTCCGCAAAATTGAAGGTGCGTGAAAATTTAATAAAAAATCACCAGTAACAGATAGAATTTTATTAGACTGGATCCCTATGGGTCGAGTTTAGACTTGCATCGTTTGGCGTGGAATGACGCAGACGCTATAAGACGGTCTGGCGATCAAGGTTGATATTTGTGTAAATAATTTGGTGACAAATATTCCAAATGTAGGTCAATGCAATGATACCGAATGCACGAGGACAGTGTTGTGCATTGATCGCTCACTTGGAGTAGCGTCTGAGAAATCACGCGACTGATCGACGCAGCCCATTTTGCACTTCACCAACATATTCAAGTTCAAAAGTATTAGACTTTATTTTCCTATTTTATGACGCACACCTGATTTCGAACGCCGCACCAGGTGACTGTGCTTACGTCAGCTGTCGTCGTTATATTACCCCGATGCAACGATCGTCCATAGAGAAATGACGAAAACAAAACGCCGTGTGGTAGGATGCCGCGAACGTGATTTGCCGAATTATGGAAATTAGCCACCAAATGGATTCTTATATTCAGTCGTCGGAATCGAGCCGTGCCATCTGGTCAAGGTAAGTCAAACACACCAACTTTACTCTTACGGTTTCGGCGCTGAACTTCCTTATGGAAAATCAGTGGAGCAGCCAGGAGGCTGGTCGTTCTTTGTTTCTATCGGATGCATCTGCGCATTTTCGGCGCACGATGACGCTCCTTGTTTTGATCTACGTCTAAGATAAGACAGGCACGACGTACACGCCAGAAATGAAGGACAGAACGCGGGAGACAGTTCACGGTCTGTTGCACGGGGCCTCCTTTCCACTCCGCTTAGAGGACGCAATCGGAAAGTGCCATGGGAAAATAGATTGAGAGGCTTACCTGCTTAAAGACTCCGTCCGTACTTTCTTTTCGAGTTTCGATCGCTACCGGCGCCATGAACTCGACATCCCCGCTGAGCAGCTTACACGAGCGCTACGTGCACCTGGCAGACCCACGCACGCGGTCCTGGCCCCTTATGGGCAGCCCGCTGCCCATCGTGGCCTTGTTAAGCTTCTACCTCCTGTTCGCCCTACACCTGGGACCCCGGCTGATGCGAAACCGCCAACCGTTTAACATCCGACGCCTGGTGGTCGCCTACAACGTCGCCATGGTCTGCATGAGCCTCTACTTCATCTACGTGTCCGTGGAGTACGCTAAACTCAGGAGCGAAGGTTCGCTGCTCTGCTGGCCGTCGGACCCGCGACCTTCGGACGAGAACATGTACTTTCTGCACCGTGCCTGGTATTACATGCTCATGAAGGCTGGCGAGATGCTGGACACGCTGTTCTTCGTCCTCCTCAAGAAGGACACCCACCTGAGTTTCTTGCACATTCTTCACCACTCCCTGGCACTCTGGTCGGTCTGGTTAGTGCTCACGCTGGGACTCACCGGTCAGGTTTATGCGTTCCCGCTGCTCAACTCCGCCGTCCACGTTGTGATGTACGGCTACTACGCGCTCGCCGCGTTGGGCCCGAGCTACAAGAAACACCTGTGGTGGAAGAAGTACGTGACGTTGTTCCAGATTGCCCAGTTTCTGATGCTCTCTGTGCATGCTTTGATACCGGCCCTTGTGGATTGCGGCTTCCCTAGGAGCCTGGCTTGCGTCGGTGCGTTCGAGGGACTCATGTTTGCTTGCCTCTTCTCCGAGTTCTACTACGGCGCGTACGTTTTCCGCCGCGGAAAGTCAGCTTGATCGTGTCCCCCTGTGACATTCCAATGACGTGTGATAGCGAAGCAGGATGCGAGAGCATTTGAACCTTTGTTGTTTTGGACGATACACGAGGAGCATTCTGGAGTGAAAGAGAACGCATGTAAGTTATACGGAATATCAGTCTCGTATACTTTATGTATAAAATTCCTTGGCAAAAGTAATATACTTAACGTATATCTTGTACTGCTGTGACAAGGTTTCGAAACGTATCTTTAAATTATACTTGTATTATACTATTAAAATATACTTTCACTGTTCACATCTTCGTCGCCAGCCTGAACGATCCATGCAGCGCGGAGCCCAGAAAAATATTACGCTTGTTTTCGTTGCCGCGCTGTCGTAGCCTTATAAATTTCAACTGTAAAAAAAAAATGTAGCTTTGCTTTTCAATCACATCTGAACTACGGTGTAATTACGGTACGGCTACGCACATCAGTCATATGCTTTAGTTTGAAGAAGTGGTTTTTGATAACCAAGTATCTCAGGTACATACAAAAGTTAATTTTGAAGAAAGTAAATTAAATGTCCAGGATATCAAGGAGCGGCACGAATTCAGCAGTCAGGTCTCTGCAAAGCGAATACTTTTATAGTCACCTGTCCTTCAGCCTGCTAACCTTCTCTACTACGCTCGGTGAACCTCGGGCAGAGTCAGATCGAGGCACGTGACTTCCTGATATGTCCTAGAAGCGAGGTCACTCTCGTGATCTACGTACTAACAACGAAGCAGAGGAGAGGGTTGTGTGTGTGGAGAGGCCATGGGTAGCTTCGTAGCCTATGGTGTCTTTTTTTTGTTTTTTGGTCTCCTTCTGTACGTTTTCATGGCTACAAGGGAAACTTTCGAAGTGGAACATTGCGGCACTTGTGGGTCCGCGTCCAAGCTCGTTTCAGACGTGAAATGATATTTGTATCAAAAACTGTGCCTTGAAGTGCTCTCCGAAATAATGCTCTCGCCCTGTCTTGTTCTATGGTTCTTATACCTCATGCCTGGAATACGAGGTGTGGAAAGGTACCTAAATTGCAAAAAAATATACACAGAAATAAATATGCATTACTGTTTTTCCGACAGTATATGCGACCTGCCTACAGCCCTTCGTCACTGTGAAGTTTACCTGTTTCTATTTTTGGTTTTCTGTTCTGACTCACTCCAGTTGTCTCATGAAATCAGCCCTATTACGTGGCCAAGAATGAATAGAACTTCGTTTACGTCAAAGCGTTAAATTTGGGCTGTTTTATATAGAATTAGTAGGATCATGTCGAACGCTACCAACAGAGGCTCTTTGCTTTACAACGCTGGCTGACATTATTGGTGATGTGCTTTAATATCAGAGATTTTGAATGGTGAGTTTATTGAGGTTCCATCACTCGGAATTGTTTTCCAAGTTTCTCTGTTCCTCTGCATAAATGAGAGATGCGTCTTCGAGGTATTGACAGCAAATAGAAGCATTTAGCTGGCGTAGAAAATGCATTGTTTTACCTAATCTCGTCGATCCACCTTCCGTGTTACCCATAGTTGCGGTGCCCACAAGGATTTTGGAGGTTAAGAATATCTTTCGGGCGCACTAAACTATTTTATTGTTAATGAATTGATCAACCGAAACAAAAACGGGTGGCGGCTTGTACTGCATATTCTAGTCTTCGACACTGCGGACCCCTAATCCCGTGACGGTCCAGAACGGTGGTCTTCAGCCACTCAGGTTTCGGGAACTTCTTCTTGATAGACGGAAAGGGTAAGGGATCCCACACGCCAGAGGGGATGGGGAAATTGGACGATTCCGATTCCGAAGGGGTAAATAAATAAAACAACATTTTTGAAAATTACCTTAAAGCTCTGCAACAGAATATAATCAGCCCTAATTACCTTGGCGCACATGGTTTCGTTTATTTAAATTTGTGGGACATAGCATTAGTTAAAAAAATCTTTTATTGATCGGCTTGAAAACAGTTGAGGGCTTCGGGAACCCCAAGAAGGCCCTTAGCGCGTCCTAAGGGTCCGCGGAACCGCATTTCAGAAGCACTCGACAAGAAGCTGATTGAGCTCAAGCATTGATCCATAGCCATATAAAGACCCAAACTTCTACAAAACAACCTTCTTCAGGGTCACACTACGTTTTTGAAGCCTTAGTTCTTGCTCAGTCAGTGTTTTGTGTTACCATCCGCCATTTGCTGATTCGTCTGGTTCCGCGGCTTTTCGCTTCGCCAGCCAAAACAGCAAAGCGTCAACTCCCTAACTGCGCAAAGCCTACCGACTAAGATAGGACTTTAGATACCCATCTACTGAGGCGTTTCCGATAGCACTTGTCTCCCGCCTTTTTTTTATAACTAAGTTTCAACTGAATCGTATGATACCCATCTTCATGGATATGAAATATATACCAACGCAGTTATGTTCCAAATTGCAACGTCATTTTAATTTATATTGTTATTGTCTTTTTATGCTGCGTAAAGCTGCCTTACTGCGTTTTAATATTCCAGTATTTGTGTTAATTTCTTAAGATATAAATTATTAACGGGCACTAATCTATCTTTGGTGTCAATAATTATCGAGGGATGCCCTCGTATTATCTGTTACCATCCCCTCTGTCGAGCACAGTCTAAGGTGTGCGTTTTGCTCTCACGTGTACGGATGTCGTTTTGTTTTCAGTTTTCGAGCACAAAAAACACCGCCTGTTTGTCCTTAACATTCCGAACCCCAAGGTTGTCTCCTGCAGAAACGTAGCATTTTATTTAAGAAGAGAGAAACAAACAAAGACCTGATGCCGGATTCCTGGACATACACCACGCCTGTTTGTGGTAATACCTTTCTACAGCTTGCGTTGTTTGCATCCTATGTGACTTCGCAATAGAATACGTAGATTTGGTGCCTTTCCGAGGTGTTCTATGCGCTTTGACATTATTAAAGTTTCCGCCATGCGTCGCGATTTCACTTATCGTTCTCCTTTCAGCATTTAACTTTGTGAAAGTTTCAGGCGTCTTTGTGACTCATCAGCAGAACGGGCTGTGAATTTGAAATATTCAAGGCAACAAAACATTGTCAAAATAGTTTGCAGAACACCAAAAAAGCGTTACATGCAGTTAGGCTTTAAGTTCACTTGTGCGGCTATTTAATATGGAAACGGGTAACGACCAAAACGGATTGCCACATTTTTGAACGATTTTTTATACAAGAAACAAATAAAACAATGCGCAATATTTCGAAGTTACATTTCAAAATAGTGATATTTGTAGCGGAAAGGAAACTCGAAAGCTAGCAGTAAACTAAGATAGAGCAAATCGGGCGTTGCTAAAGTATATGGTGATAGATCAATCGGCCTCTGAAATTTGGAGATACCAGCTCAACGATGCTAAGGGACAATTTAGCTAGTGCAGTACGACGGTTACTCTAGGAACGTCAATGGGCTTCAGTCTGTACAACTGGGCCTTCCATTTGATCGCTGCTTTGAGACCCCTAACGCCAGAGATTTAAAAGTGCCTTGTATGAAAAACGTGCTTGGAAAATTAATTGAAGTACTGCACGTAGATGATATCTTCATCAATACATTTGTATAATCTCTGTCACACATTGGTATACCATCTTGAAAAAAAATTTACATAATTAATCCCTACTCATTTATGCAGCCGACGAGCTTAACCAATTTGCAGTAGTCTTACTTTATGGCTTCAGTACAGTGGCCTTACTTGAGTTGCCCCGTCACTGCGCTTACAACTCATTCTATTCAGTTATCTTTCATGATACAATATACGCCCCAAGTAGTGCCAGGACACCAGCTACACATTGTTGTCAGATCAAAATCAGCAAAGCGAATCAGATATCTAATGCTATAAGAAGCCAAAAACACCTGCTTGCGGCCGGATGTCATCAACGAGTGCCACTGGTATTTTCACGGTAGGTGTATTACCGTGACACGCGTGATACAGCTACAACTACTGATCGTTATTCGGTCTTCATCTACGAAGCATGTCTACATTGCCTCTTTGAACACGTCTCCCCTAGGAGTTTTTTGTCTTGTTTGTTTTACATGTCCTTAGTTGGAATTGGAGTAAGATTACCTGTCAGTGTTGACAGATCGCTTAACTCCGCCGTTGCCTTTGATGGCGCACTCCACCACTACCTTAGGAGAGGTGGGAGTAGTCTACCAAGTTAGCTCGCGCAGACCAAGGTTTTTATTTCTTGGGAATCGAAATGCTGATAATATGCCAAAACATCACTTTATTTATTTCATAAACGTTATTTTAGGATAGACCAGTGTAATATTCACTACACTACTTGTCAATTCTACAGATATAAAATATTATTTTTTATTTGAAAGATTGCATAACATTACTGGTTTTTGCAGGAAGCGGGTTTGCAACATATGTAGTTATAGAAGTATGACACAAGAAAACATCAAGTGATGTTTTCTTGTGTCATAGAGAACATAACGCACATAAAAACATAAAAAAAATTATTAAAAATTTTTTTTTTTAATTTTTCTTTGCGGAAGAAACGCCAATAAAAAGTGCGACAATTTTTTCTTCAATCTTTGCGAGAAAACAGTATTTGTATACGTAATAGGGTTGGGTAGGAGCGGATGTTTCAAACCCAGAGAGGCAACCTGCAAAGTTTGCCGCGATATGGGATACATTGAAGGGACACGCGTCAAATTTAAAGCAAGTACAGAATGCTATTAAAAAAAGGGAACATAAAACGTGTATTGATCTCATTTATGTCAGTAACTTTACACAAGGGGACATTTCATTGTGCGGTAGCATGAACTGGCCCGTCGGCGTACAGGCAGGGGCGACATGAAAGCTATTATGCAGGTTGTAGGGAAGGGAAAAAAGAATTGTAATAAACTGCCACATTCTTTATTCTTGCGAGATCCGATTGCATAGAGCAGCATTTTATGGAAACCCCGTGCGATATTTTACCCCTTTCTGCTAGCCTTAAACTGGATTATTTTATAGTTCCTCAGACTGTGCAAATACCTGAACAATATTGTCTACTCTGTATTTTGGGTGTATTTCAATTGTGTGTGCTTAACCCAGTAGGCTTTCGAGCTGTTGGTTAGCACAAGAGAAAAATAAACATTGATTGATTGATTGATTGATAAATGCTCACTTCAGAGCACCCCACTCAGATATCGTATAAGTTGCAATATTATTGAACGACTTTGGCAAGGAGGGTTGTGAGTAGTTCCAGCTATTTAGGGTTTATCTATTCTTCACAGTTATTTACCGTGACTAAAATGTGTTTTTTTGCCTGGCCCGTTGAAAAATACCACGATGAGTTAACCTCCGTGTTTTGAGAGAGCTGTGGATTGGCGCAATTTTCTTTTTTTTAATTGTTTGTTAAATTCAGATTGCATGACGGTCTCTTCTGTTTAGAACGAGTGCCTTGGGGCCGGTTTAGTGCTGCGCGCTTATATTTTACTTCTGTGTTTAGAGTTAGGCGTGTGGACACAAGCTGTATTCACTGATTGGTCCGTTTCTTAACCCTTGGCCCTGTCATCCTGAGGGAGGTTAGCTTGAGTTTAGAGAGACCCCGACAGAGATTTGTTTGTTACAGAAAATGAGGTTGCTCTTTTGAGGTTTCTTAAAAGGACGACAGCTGACAAGCAACTTTAGCCTTGCGTTGCCTATTAGCGTAAAAAGCACCAAATTTGTAATGTGATTTCGGGTAGAGTGTCCAGAGTTGGCCGGGAGGCTCTCTCGCCTCGCTATTAAGTCTGAATTAAAATTCAATTAACTACAAAGGTGCAAGCGAGCTAGAAAAGAATGACGAAAATAGTTTCTGGAGAAGGGGAACAAGGCGGACCAAGGACAAACACAAATCTCCAAACACAGCTAGGTGACTGGTGTGCGACGGAACCAGGACCAGGCGGATTTTTTTTTCGGTCGCGCATCAGTTACCTAGCTGTGTTTCGAGGTTTGTCTGCCTATGCACCCTCCCCCCCCCCCCCCCCCCCCCTTTCTCTAGGAAATATTTTCGTGAAGTTTGAATTGTTTATTTATTTTGATACTTTGCCGTAGTTTGCCTTTTGGAGACAAACTAGATCAGGGGTGGCGAGGCTGACCCGGCCTAAGAGCCGCAAACAAAACCACGAAACTTCAAAGAGCCATAGGGGGGAGGGGGAAGGGGGGGGGGGGTGAAATGTGTCCAGAGCAACAAACGAAACTCCGAACTACTTTTATTCGATCCGACTCAAAAGCAGTCCAACTGTACGTAAGGTAGTAGTAACACAAGACTACCAAACCGCAACCTGTCTTTCAATTAAAAACGCGTTCCATTCTTCTTGTTTGGGGAAGTGCTCGTATGACCGGGATGTAGGCGTTAGAGGGGTGAGGGGGGGGGGGTTAGCAGGGGAGGGATTCGCGAGCCACACTTTAACACGCGAAGAGCCGCATGTGGCTCGCGAGCCGCAGCTTGGCCACCTCTGAACTAGATCAACAGCTTAATTAACCACAAGTCATTCGTGGCAATTCTGATGGAGGTGCGGGATCAGACACCTTATTTACGTTCCTCGCGACCCTCTAGGGCACCTTAGACGAGTATTATTTTATGTCCAAGATAAAAAAAAAATCTTCTGTGGAGAAAGATTTGGCTCGCGCGAGTCAGTGGCTTAAAGGCAAAACAGCCAGATGTTGGTTTACTTCCGAAGGAGTAGAAGAACGCGAACCCAATGATAAGCTCCCAGTCCCAACCAAGCGAACATTTTTTTTATAAAAGCACCTCTCTTCTATCTTCATGTAGCTCCTTGTATTCCGGAATCTTTCCTCAACGATGTCTACAAGTAACTCGACGACTGGCTACATCACTAAGAACGCGTGGCCAACCACACTAGATAGACGTGAGGATCGTGCTTTCAGAATTTCTATTTCTTTGCTGAGTGAACAGCGAGGCACTGGTTTGAGAACCGCGAGGCTTCCCTTTCTTCGTGGGACATCTTCATAGTCGAAATAAAGCTGACTTTCACGAACCAGAACTGACGACAGCAAGCTGAGGAATTCCTGCAAACGAGGATTCAAGGCCCAAACGAAAGTGCCTCCAGATCACCGAGGTCATTTTATGCCTGAATGCCCGTGCCGACCCCCAGGTTACCGAGGAGAAGAAGGAGCTGCGGATCCTCATGCAGGGCGTGAAGGATAACACCTCCGGCGGCCTTGTTTGTAACCTCCTCCCCCGGACCGTGAATAATGTTTGTTTGTGACGCGAAAAACATCGAACAGGTCTTGAGGGCCAGCGTGGGGCGTTACCAAGGGTTTTCCGGAGTCTCATCTCTTTCATTTTCCCGCCTCGACTTTGGCGACACCGGCATCAAGAACCCCCAGAGTGTTATTCGTGACGTTGTTGGCAAAGACCTGACGAGCTTGTTTCCTCCTCCAGAGAGCCCAGCCATCATTTCCAATGCGGAGTCTGTTCGCGAGGAGGTGCAACGGGTTCTGCTACCAAAGACTCCAGTCGAAAAGATTCCCATACAACCGGCCACGACGAGCGCCGCCAGCGCCCAAATATAGACTTCCGTCCCGCTTCAATAACTTCTCGCGCCCCGATATGAGACACCGTAATTCAGCAGGCTCCACAAACGCCGCAGCATGGCTCAAGAAATACCGACGTTTCAGGGCGGCCGTTCGACGTATCCTTTGCTACCTCGTTGTTGAGAGGAAGCCCACGTTTACAGTCGCAGTCTCTTCTGCTAGCTCGGATTTTATACGCCTCGCAAGTGGGCTCATTTTCGTCTTCTGCGCATGAGAAAGGAAGTAGCGGTGACGTCAGAACGTCGAGCCCCGATTGGCTGATCGCGACCCCCTATCTGAGCGTCGTCTGCTCCTTTGCAACCTCGTCTGCTCGCAACATCGTCTGCGTCTGTCTTGGCTTTCCTGCGACTTGACGAGCGAGCTCGACTTCGCCTTTCACAGAGGGCAGACGAAATAACTCGAGCGGTACGTTGTTTTTGTCTAACAACTAGCAGACGCGCATCAAGGAGGGAAGTCAAAGGTGGCGAGGTGTCCCGGAACGCCGAGGTTTGTTTGTTAAGAACCGAGAGTGAGCGTGTTAGTGTCCGCAAGTTCCCTCCCAAATACTTTTTACCTCCATTCGTGTGCGGCGAGACGCCTCAAGTCAAAGCGATGGCTGCTTTACCTTTCCTGCGTCTGTCGGAGATTCACCGCTTTTTCACCGGCGAGAGTCACCGTTGCCTCGGGAAACA